TAAACCTCGCACATCTCAGAAGCAGGTGCTAGGGTTACAACTAGTTTCCTTCATATTCCGCACATTTGTCTTGATGATACTCTCTCGGCATTTAACTTACTCTCCTTTTCCTTATTTCATCTGTTGACTGACTAAATGGGTTGTCAAAAAAACAACGGTCGAAACCGGGCCACGGACAATTATGTTGAAAGTATGAACAAACTAGAAGCGAACTTGTAAATTAGAGTCTGGAACAAATAAGGACACCCGACTCACTCTGGAGCTCTTCGTTCGTGAAGTGCATGCGTTCCTTTTTAGTTTGAGCAGTACGAACAGTGATCAATCAAACAGTGACACAGTAAAATTAACCAACATGCAGAAACCGGCATAACCAAGACACTGAATCAACCAACAGAGCTCAAGCATTTTTCACATTAAAGGAAACCGAAGAGAGCGATTATCTGAACTTCTTTGATAGGCAATTGTGATCCGGACCGCATACTTTTTCATCGGATAGGACAAAAGACAACAACGAAGAAAACGCTGAGTGCAAACGAGTATCCCGACGAATTCATCAACAAACGTAGCAGACCAAGAGTTGCCAAGCATGTCCTAACCAGTGAAGTCGACTGATCTGAATTCGGTGGAACAATGAATTCTCCATTGTATTCGGCAATGACTTGATGGAGAATTCAGATTATTCGGCTTCGCTGGTTCGGACAAGTGTTGCGCATGCTCAGTCGTCGTCTACCGCACCGTGTCTTATTCGAAGTTGCAGCTCCAGGTTGGAAGAAACCACGTACAGGTCAACAGATGACGTGGAAAGCAGGCTTGAAGAAATACACAGAACGATTGGGTAGAATCGGTGTCTCCCGTCTTCCAGGTTGGGGTCCGAAAGACTGCAACTGGCTGGTTGGAGACACTGAAGGATATGGCAACTAACCGACAGCAGTGGCGTTCTTATTGTCATTTCTTATCAAGTCAAAATGCTTGAAATGTATGTATGTCGAGTTCGATTGTGTACTCTTTGTGTTGATCATAGAGGTTCCTTTTCTTTGCCTCTCTCCAATTAGGCCCCATCCCTTTCGATCTTGTGCTTTATCACTTGATTTGTGTACATTGTGAGCTTGGTAGCGATCAGTGAGGTTCGCTTCACTGTATTTCGCTATACGATGATGATGATGATGACGATCAATTCTACTCATATTATGTTTCTTGTTTTATTCAAATGTTCTATTTTAGCTCCGTCCATATGAGTTGGCACCAACCTGGAATCGATGTTTCATCTGCCCCACTTCACCCCCAACCACCTCATGACCTTTTGTCGAGTGGCTATATGACGGGTTTTGATCCCAATAGTGCAGTTGTTGAAGCAGATAATCCCCTATTGACTGAACAACGTGCCCAAGTGACGGGACGAGAACTTCAGCGATTGCTCAGTGTTGCTCATCAAAGTCTCGACGAAGCACAGGAAAGGTAACACCATTTCTTTTGCTGATTACCTTCTTATAACAAAATTGAGGTTGTTGTGTGTTGTCTATTACTTTTGTATGAAACACAATAAAAAAGTAATCTGCGACAGGGTCCTATAGGAACGTAGCAACAGATGTGTCCGACATCACTCACTCGGGAACATGTGGACTCGTTGGTTGCAATTTGCAAGACATACGTTAGATCAACCAAGGCAAACGCCAAGAACAAAATTCTTTAGCGAGTGCTGAGTGAACTACCAAAATTAGTCTAACAGTTCCTTCGGTGTTCGATCGAAGCGTTCGGTGCCCAGCCTATGCTGTTTCGTTTCGCAAACTTTGGTGCTGCTAATCGTACTTACCTGTTCTTCTTTCATCCTCATTTTTTCTAGTTTGTGAACAATGAGGAAGTTACCATAGTCTCTCATTAAAACAATTGCAGCTGGTATGAATCATTTAGAACAAAAAATCGTGGCGAGTGGCGTTTTAGCATAATTGTTAGTTTCCTCTCCTTATCGAGTTACCGCACTTTTTAACGTTTTCAGCAATGAATCTGGAGGTATGTTTTTTTCCAGTTGCTCTTCTTCTTAAACTTTATGCATTCAGTATCAGTACTGTGTCTAAAGAAATTTAAAATATCCATCAAATAGCCGTATACACTACGTTTGAATCTCAGTTGCGCTCACTACTCCGCTTTTGTAAATATAATTGTTTTTGTGATGAAGTCATTTGTTCCCATTCATTGCCCGTTATCGTTTGCTTCTTTTGATAGGAAACAATCTCTCAACAGTCATCGACTGAAGCCAGCCTTGTACAGTGTATTTTGCGAAATTAAGGAAAAGACGGGTAAGTGTCTGATGTATTACGCTTTTTTGACAGAGCTACAAATGCTGTTCGACGTTCCGTATGACGTAACTCAGCACCCAGTGTAACCCTCTGTATTTATTCACCACTATATAATCGTTTAAGATTTTGGGTACCCTATTCATTTGGACAAGCATGGTGCGTGTTTCTGAGGAAAACCTGTCGAGCGTTTGTTCAGATTGTGGTCACTTGGAGGTCCAAACGATAGGTGGGCCTATCTGGTGAGAGTAGTTTCCAGGATGGAATCCAAAGGGAGTTGATTTAGAAAGTAAAGCCTGTTGTAAAAGTTACTATCCCCTTTGATACTTTTCTAAGTTCCATTTGCCTGAATCGTAGAGAAAAAACAGTGATAAATGCTCAAGGTGATCTTGTGTTTGGACTGCAGTGGTAGAGGTATCTAATTTGCCGACCCCTGTATGTCTGAACTGGCCGGGATTTGAATCCGGATATTTCAGTCATCAACCAGGGCAGTATCATTCTGTGGTTAAGGTTGCCAGCCATACCAGATGTGACATGACGAAGTTAACTTTATTCAGTACTTTGTAATAATCTCGATCATGTGTTGATAAAAAAATTGTCCAATATGCAGGTACTTTTGACCCAGAAAACGCTAAAGTAAAAAAGTTTGATTCTCATTTTTTGGAAAAGTGATCGCTACTAACCTCAACTACCTCTCTGTTAGTGCAGAGTGTTTTCCGTTTTACTGTTCAGTATCTCTGTTTCTATGCTGTTTTGGGAAACGCACTCTAATTCTGCCTTCGTTATTTTTGCCTTTTATCCATCTACAATTAGCTTTGAGTTTGCGCAATTCCGCTGCATCTGCCGTGGAGGATGAAGCAAATTCTCCTGATCCCCAGTTGCTCCGCTTGGACAAAATGCTAGTCGCTGAGGGTGTGACTGGGCCCGGTGGGGGGTTGGCTAACGATCTAAATGATGCCGGAGGTGATTTGGGCGGTGGAGCCGGGAATGACTGCAATCAGATCGAACACGCAGACTATCGAGCAAAGCTAGCCCAAATTCGACAAATTTATCATGCGGAGCTGGAGAAATACAAAAACGTAAGCTTATGCTCGAGCTTTGTATTCACTATTCATGGGTTCTACTTGTTGGAGAACTAAATGAATTCATCTTCAATCACGTGTAGTATCAGCTGCTTTTTTCATAGCTTTTTGATACTAATGCGTGCTGGACACACGTTTGCTTTTTATCGTATGATTTTTAATCAAAATCATTCCTTCAGTAGGTGCTGGGATGAAACCATCAAATACTTCATTGTAAAGAATCCAGAGGAACCTCATGTGTGCACTTAACATCAAGCTTACAGTCATTGCTGCCTGATCCACAAATGATTTGCTCACATTCGGGTCTCGAATGATCCCAATCGATAATCGTCACTTTGCCATAGAGCTTCCTTATGTATTGAGAGAGTCTGTTCGCTGACTTCATGAACACTGCTGATATAAAGCAGGTTGCAAGCAATTCACTTTCGATCCGACCCCAATCTTGTGTGAATTCCGGTCACACAAAACTTGTCGTGAAATCGCATACTGCCTATCATACTGGGGAAGTTTTCAACAGGGAATATGATTTCTGCCCGCTGTCATAAGTGTTCTATTTCTCTCTCTCTCCCTTTCTGGTACTGTTCATCTTACCCATGTCCCTACCCACTGAATGCCATCGGTATCGGTATTTTTCTTTGAGAGAGAAAAACGGANCCCCCCCCCCCCCCTTGAATGAGCGAACCGCGTCAGATTGGTATCCCCTCGTTTTTCGTGATACTAGTTTCAATGCCAATTCTAGGTGGCCATATTCTTTAAAATTGTTCTGCTATTACACAGTACAAATTCGTATACAGTACGTTTAAGCTCCACAATGTGAATGGCCAGCTGTCACGATGAGACGTGGTGTGATGGCTTGTGCACCTCTCTAACCCAACGAGCTACGCAGGATGGCTTTTGTTAAGCCGAAGATCTAATCATGCCTGGAAGGTCGAAGGATAGAGGTTGGACGAAGTCCAGTCTCCTGGTCCTCCANGGACGAAGTCCAGTCTCCTGGTCCTCCAGGTTGGGGGTTCGACTAGAATTTGTCGGTAAAAATAGTGGAGGAGTAATTGATCCAACTAAATGGGCCTCCACTTCGCTTCACCCGCTACCTTGCGGCTAGGTTCTTGTCAGAACTAAAGGCTTTGGTTGAGAACCCTAACCGTTCTCCTGCTTAGTGGCTGGACATCGTAACTGTACCTGTCCATCTAACCCCAGTGCGTATACATTGTGAGGTTGGCAGCGATCAGTAAAGTTCGCTTCTCTGTATTTCGCTGTACGATAATGATGATGATGACCACGAACCACACTTGAATACAATTGACAGCAGAGCCTGTGTTCCAATTCTCGATACTGTTGTCTCACTGGTCATATTCCCCAAATTTACACAGCCCCCCATTTACAACCACAATAGTCTGCCAGTTTTTCATTGGTGCTGTTACTCACCTAAAAGTAATTGTATATGAATATGTCATCGGCTGGCGAATAAGCATGGTGCCAACGTAACAATGGTAACAAAAGACGGAGGGGAAGGAATTGGGGTGCAAAACAGAGCGAAGCTGTGATGATGTTGCGCTCGCTGTTCTTAGATGCTTGGTGATTATTCACTCAGTAATCCGAACACATTCAAAAAAGTAGTTTTCCAGGTCGTGGTACTGTAAGAAGCAAACTAGAGCTGAAGTACTTGATGAAGGTAAATATAATGATTTAGTCCACTTTCTGGTGATGTTCTAGTTACAATTACCGAACTCTCTTTCATTCACAGGCATGCGATGAGTTCACTGGACATGTGATTAATTTGTTACGCGAACAGAGTCGCAGTCGACCAATCAGTCCGGCTGAAATCGAGCTCATGGTTGGCATCATCCGACGCAAATTCCGTGCGATCGAAACTCAACTGAAACAGAGCACATGCGAAGCTGTGATGATATTGCGTTCGCGGTTCTTAGATGCTCGGTAAGTTGGAAGTTTCGGGTCTATCACAGAACCGTATTGACGAATTCTCATTAGAGACTATTCAGTACAATTGTCTAGTTCGTAATCCGTTAAGTGTCCTTGCTCAGAGAGCCTTTTGCTGTCACATTTTCAATGGTGCAGGTTGTATGGTCGACTCCGTAGCTGATTGGGATCCTTTACTTTGTTCACCTTTGGGTCTATTTTTCCTCAATCCTGCTCCTCTGTTCATCCATTCCATCGACCATTGTGAAGTGAGAAACATCAATTGTGTTGATTTGGAAAGTGATGATACACAATCTAATATGTTCAAAGTTCACGTATTCCGCAATTTTCCATCTGTTTTTCAATCCACTTGATGCCACCCATTATAGTTGGATAAGCTTCCCTGTTAACACGAAGCATTCCATCTTAAGGGGGGTCCGTACCACTTTGTGCATGTTTTGTTTGTTTCTCTTTCAGTGAATTCGTTACCATGGTTTTAACTGGCAGGTTTTTAATACTGTTTTTTCATAAAAATCCTTCGGGTCTTTATGCCAATCCTATATTGTTGCTTGAAATAAATTCGTCTATAGTGAACACTCGTTCAGTCGTTGTCTCATTGCGGTTGAGAAATGACGTGATACAATTTTCAACTAGGGGAAGCGACCAATCAAAAGGCTACCATACAACACATGGTTAGTCAGGCAGTGGTGATGGAATTCGAACACACGTCCTCAGGAGCGATAGTTTGGTGACCTTTACCACTCGATCACCATCTTATCGCAGTAACTAGTAGCAGTGAGTGGAACCCATAGCCATGAGGACCTGCTGAACAGTTCTAAACGCCGACAACCTAGTACCTGAGATTTGGAATGACGAATCTCAGCACGATGTATGTAGTATCGCACTGGATGACGCCCCAAACTTGTTTATGAACAACTGAAAACCCAGCCTAGTCAGCTGTTCTTTTCTGTACTTTGCTTGTTCTCAGTTCACTGTTTTGATGTTGTAGCTATGTAGCTTCGGCTCCCTATACCTTTTTCATTACGCACCACTGTGTGATGAACAGCAGACGGAGCGAACCCCATAGTCACGAAGACCTGTTGTTCGTTGGTGGAAACCGGTAATCTAAGCCCCGGGACTTGGAGTGACGAACCACCTAAGGCGTAGTATTGAACCGTACGATAACAATGCTGCCTACCACCAAAGTTGGGTGGTGGTGGTGGCGGGGCTCGAACATCGGACCACAGGGTCCCAAGCACGCAGGTGACATAGACTAAACCACGGTACCACTACCATCCTCACCTCAGGTTAGAAGAAAGCAAATGCTTTACTTGACTTCAGAATAGTTCCCTACCACGAAAGTTAACCATAGGTGGCAGGTGGTGGTCTTGGTGATGGCGGTAGTAGTTATGAAGCTATTTAAATCACGGTCGCTGGTGTGCGCTAATTCCTAAGGTGCAACTTCCGCCACAGTTCCATTATCGGTTAACTGAGTACAGCATCACACATCTTATTGGAATCGTGCGCGTGTATCTCTGTGTTCCAGTTTCCGATCTTCCGTTAGTTTAGTACCTCAGATGATGATGACATGCATTGTTTGGCCTCTTTTTCAGACGAAAACGACGCAATTTCAGCAAAGAAGCCACGGAAGTACTGAACGAGTATTTCTACTCTCATCTTGCCAACCCTTATCCATCAGAGGAAGCCAAGGAGGAACTTGCGAAAAAATGTGGAATTACCGTATCACAGGTAAGCATTGGTTTACATCTGCTGAGCAGTCCATGTGTGACGCTTCCGTCTGCACCATAGGCACTTATTTTTCCCAGCTCATAATTTGCTGTTTGTTTCTGCACTACCGTGAGGTAGTAGGTTATTTTCACCTACCGCTAAGGACATTTGTTTATGTCAATCGACAACCTGGAACCAGCCCTTCACTCAGATTTCTGACTATCACCATAGAGAGAGAATATGCTAAAGCGGATATAAAAGTTGATGCACGAAGTTTTTATTTATTTATTTTTTTTACTTCACACGTCTGACTGTGTGCCAAACAAATCATGGTACAATAATCTTTATGAAAAATGAAAAACGTTCCATGGTTTGCATGTGGGCGGAGTACTGCCAGGTTGCCCAAACCAAGGCAGGGGAATTTTCTTGAGGAATCCACAACCGGAGCCTTTGGTTAGCCAAAGCCTGACCCGCAAGGCAGTGGAGCGGTGTGTGAGAACCGCAATCCATTGGGGGCCGGTATTCAGTTTATCGGATCATTCGCCTTTTGGACGGGGTCAAATGTCCAAGGTGTCCAAAACACCTTGATGCCCAATCGAGTCGGCGACCACTGCCCATCCGGGAAGGTGTGTGTAGTTCATACGCCTCCTGTTGGTTGGTTGGAAATCAGGGTTTTTGGCCAACTCCCTTAGGTGAACTACCAGTAATTCACCAACCCGGTTATAGGCTCGGATGTCAGCTTTTCGTCTTCTCACTTTGGTGGGAAAACTCCTCCACCACAAGAAGGCAGTGAGTAGGGCTTCCTCAGCAGAGGCTATCTGAGACGCTTCGTCGTATGGGAGCATTTCGCGAGATGCAAAGGAAGGGTGACCAGCCGCAACCCTAGGCACCCACCCCCGACCACAGTGAAGCTTACACGACCAGAGGCATGTCAGTACAGTGACCTCAGTAAATTAAACCACTTCTGGGGCATTCCTTTTCGAAGAAAGGAACACATCAGATTTTCGTGGTCACCTGAGTTGAAGCCTCCTTTCAGGTCAATGAACACTGTGATGGTTGGTCGATGGTGGGTGTGACGTAGCTCTAGGACCTGACGCGACGTGAAGATTTGATTCCGGCCTGGCCGTGAATGTATTGAGGATTTTACCAATACATTCAGGCAGGA